TCTGTCTGTCTGTCTGTCTGTCTGTCTGTCAGTCTTCCTGTCTGTCTGTCTATCTGTCTGTCTGTCTGTCTGTCTGTCTGTCTGTCTGTCTGTCTGTCTGTCAAGTTTAAACTATTGGTGATTCAGTTTAACAAATGTTGCAAAGAAAAACAAAATGAAGCAGCGTGAACTTTATTCATGATGATTTATGATGATGGCTGTTTATTAATGTTTAATTCATTTGTTATGTGATTTGTGAAAAGAAAGTAAATGAAAGAAGGGATGACCGCCTGTATTTGACATGTATATGAAAGGGGCAGGCAACAGAAATCTTTCCTTCATCATGAAGTGTAATGTTTTGTCTTGAGTGCACATGACTCCACATTCCGGAATCACGCCAGAGTCTTGTTTTCTTTGCACAGAAACGAAAGTGTCTGCAGGTCAACGCCTAAAGCAGGAAGTGAGAGAGAGAGAGAGAGAGAGAGAGAGAGAGAGAGAGAGAGAGAGAGAGAGAGAGAGAGAGGGTGCAGCCTGTTCAGAGGGACGGTGACACACACACACACTTCACTGTAGAGACTCTGCTGAGTGAGGAGGAGGACGAAGATGAAAATAAAGATGAAGATGCTTTTTGTTCCAATGGTGATGGTTATCATGTCAGTGCCGAGCGTGACAACATTTACAACATTTACCACAGCTGCTCCATGGACAACATGGACAACAGGTACACACACACACACACACACACACACACACACACACACACACACACACACACACATTCCTTCACCCTTTGTTGCCATTGACAAATATATAATATATATGAGAACTGTGTATTCTACCACACCTCTATGTGCTGAAAGAGATCTTTGATTTTTCTTTCTCTTCATGTCTCCAGCTCGTCCTGCAGTAAATTTGAATGGGAAGATGTTCACCTTATCTTATAGTGGAGGAGGAATATCCTTCTATTCCCCCTTTCGTTCTTCTGACAGTTCTTACATGACACACTGGCCCGCCTCCACCTACCCCCCCCCGACCACGCCAGGTGAATCTCAAAGTTTAAAACCAGACAGAGACTGCTGTCCACGTGGTTTTCCCTGAAAGGTGTAATATGACACTTAAATTCATTAAAATGTCCACAAAGAGTTGTTATTAGATATTGTGTTGAGCTGCTTTGTACTTCATTATCCCAGATGTTTCAAACAAGTTTCAAACTTAAAGGAATATATATATTTTTTATGCCTCCAGAGAGCCCTTGTTGCATAGAATTACAGATTGTGCTTTTAACTTGAATTGTGTATCAACCCTCCCTCTTTTGAATCCTGCAGGTTTTTCTGTGTGTCTGCGTTACCTCACCGACTATTTAGGAGCAAACCCCGCACTCAAACTCTATCTGACGGGCTTCGACCCTATGACTCTGGGAGCCAGTTCCGATTTATCCTATTCACTGGCCAATGATTATAGTTACTCCTCCCTGTCCTTCCGACCCAGCATTAGATTCTGGCCCGAAGTTTTTGCACAGGACATATGGACCAGAGTCTGCGTCACCGTGGACAGAGTGAAGAAAGTGGCCCAGGTGTTCAGCGGCTCAAACATGAGCATCAGGAAGATTCTGCCCCCTCAGGTGAGGAGAGAGACAGGTCGAGGTGGAGGTTCATTCTGTCGGGCCTCGTGTCCACGTGGTTTTCAGACGTGACCTCTGGAGCGATAACTCTTGATTTATCGTGTCGTGTTAATCATCTTAAATCTTCATCACCGTCTCTGACATTATCTTCCTGCTGTGTTAGTTTGTGTGTCCTCAGTGTTCACGGGCAGATGGGCCTGTGATCGATGTTCCAGGATTTGATGGTCAGTTGACAGACGTCCAGATGTGGGATTATCCTCTGGACCACGGAGGAATCATCCTCTACATGAGGTCCAACGCCTACAGGTGAGAACGTGTGTCTGTGTCTCACTTTATCATTGATTTATGATGGATAAGCTTAAGGGTCACAGAATCCATCGATTCCACATATTATAATATATAGTATAATATAGTATAGTGTATAGTAATTGTATATAGTACAGTATAATATATAATTCAATATATTATAGTGTATAGTGCATTATGGAATAGTTTATAATACATATATAATATATAGTTTAATCTATTATAGTGTATATTATATATGATTGTATAGTATGATATATTATATTATAGTGTTAAGTATAAAGTATATTATTGCATAAAGTAGTTTATGATAGTATAATATAATTATATAAAGCATGAGTCATTTTAAAATCATCTCAAATTAGTGTTTGTGTTTCTAGGCCGTCCCGTGGCTCTGTCCTCACCTGGGAGGACATCAGCTACTCTGTCAGTGGAAACGCTCTGCTGGAGGACGTGTACGAGGCTCAGGAGCCGCAGCCAATCAGCAAAAGGGGGAGAAGGCGTAAAGTGAGGGGAGGGAGGAAGAACAGAGAGAGAGGAGAGCGTCAGTGAAACACACACAAGCAGATAAAGAGCAAGCTGCGTCCTCTGTTCCTCATTTGATCGTTCGATCAACTCAATAAAATCACAATTTAACAATAATCAGCATTTATCAATATCAAATGTAAATGATTTGAAACTAATTATTATATTTACAGTCTCAGTAATGTGACACTTTTGATTTTCGTCCCTTTTGTATTTGATTCCTCACTTTTTTAGGGAACTGAATTTGATTTCAAAAACAAAAACAACACCGGACATATTTAGGGAACTGATATCTGTGAGTGTGTGTGAAATAATTTGATTCAAGGGAACAGACGTGTGCTCTCTGCTGAGCGACGTCATGATACTGCAGCATCGAGTGCATTCAAACCACGTTCAAGTTATAAGTTAACACAAGACTGTGCTCAACATATTTGCATTTGATTAAAAAACAACTGTTGGCATCAAGTGAGCGTCAATAAAGATCAGCTGCATCCAGACTTTCTTCACGTCGTCACTTCTTTATTGAAACTGGAGTCTCGGGGCTTCGGTGAAGTGGTTATGGCTTCAAACAGAAATAGTGTCATACAATATGTGCAGCAGTGTAGTAGCTGAACGTCTTTTAATACTTTTCTATAGTTAAACCGCAAAAGTTTGTTTTGGACTTGACCTTTAAAGGCTCTTGATTCTTTCTGATCACAGAGCGTATTCAACCCATTATCATCACACAGATATTGATCATTGACACAAGACGCCAATAAATAAATGGATCTTAGTGAAAAGAGTTTTCATTAAAACCTCTAATTAACAGCTTTCCATTTTATGTCTTCGAGGTGAGTGAAACGTTAAAATACATTCTCTTGGAGTCTGTTGGCAAATGAGCAACAAATTCAAAGTGTTTCGACAACATTGAAATCAAATGATTATATGAAGAAATTCTCATTTATAACTCTGTATTTAGCAACACATCTGTCATCATAGCAAAATAATTATTGTACATCCTCACGTCAGGGCCAACATGTCACTTTACACCGTTATGTACAAAACCCTTCATTCTCTACAGAGTGGTGCACGAGAGCAGAACGGCCCTCCGTGAAAAAGTTGCTAGAAAGTTGTGTTATCTTTTCACAAATAGAAAACTTACACGGTTACCCAACATCCAGATGTCACAGGTTTTTCCAACCAGCACATATTCCTGTTAATTTTCTTTACAATTATCTGCTTGACAAAAAAACAAAAAAAACAAGGCAAATTTCAGAGAATTCATAAAACATCATGGCTTAAAAATAAAATGACGTAATAACCGTCTGACATGAGGTCTGGTCGACGAGTTATATTTTGAAATGTAGACGTCAACTAACTCCATGTGCAGACATGTGCAACCACTTACTATTTAAAAAAGAAACTCCGTCTGAAAATACAAAGACCAGAATCAATGAAAAGACCTGTAAAAGCGTTATTGCTGTCAATGGAATATATCCTCTGTTGGTGGAATATTCAACGTCTGTACATTTTGTCCCCTTCACTTCAAAATGTAAAAAAGAATTTAACCAGATTGATTTTAGATTCTATGTTAGTGTTAATAAATAAGATTCAAAAGCTTAATTGACCGAAACCACAAAAACTTCAGCCAATTTTTCTGTTTATTTATTTGACAGGAATCGATATATTTCTGATTTAGTATCTGTGTTGTTCCCTTGCTCAGGAAAAAAATACACTTATGTCTGAAGGGAAAATATCCCGAGCAGGAAAGAGGTGAACTTTAGTGACTCTTCAGCAGAATTTATTTTATTCAGTGTGAGAATAAAGAATAAATGTTAAGAATATAGCTGCTCTTATTACTTTTAGATGAATCACTTTTCATTCAGGAACAGTTTGAGACTCAGACCCCGTTCAGACCTGGTGTAAACATCTGACCTGGGGTCTGATCACTCAGGCCACATTGGAGGTGGAGAAAAATAGAAATAATCTCCGTTAGTAAAAACCCTTTCGTCCAAATATCAGAAACTCACACGCTCTTCTTGATAAACCTCATTCGTCACAATAAACACTTCTAATACTTTTGACAAATTCTCTAAATAGTTCATTACTACCTCAAACTTTTCATAGCTTTGACTTGTGCCATAATTTTTTTAAACTTTTAATTTGTTCTGACTTTTTTTTTTTTAACTTACATTTTCAACTTTTAATTGTTTTCATTCCTGGCAGAAGCAGATGTCCAGTGTGTGATGACTTCCTTCAACCCGCAGACGAACGCACTCGAAATAAAAACTGTTTTTCACACCGCACTGACACGAACGCAAGAAATTGAACAGAATCAAAACCAAATCCAATTTTCTCAGACAGCAACAACATGAATACAGGGAAGATGATTTGCTCATGAGAACTTCAGATGTTTACTGACAGTTGTTACAGGGTCGCTGGTGCCTCATGTTGTGTGTTTGTAAGGAGAACATTTGACTAAAATTTTGCTATAAAGCACTGCTTGGCTCTGCTCGGTTCAGTTTGTTTGCATAAAAGTGTCAGTTTGTGTGTGTGTGTGTGTGTGTGTGTGTGTGTGAAGGGCACACTGGTCCAGTCAGCGATGAAGTGCACTTCTTTAAAAAAAAAAAAATCATAATTTCTTTTTTGGAAATGGATGGGGGAAAAACTCCAGAGTCAGTTCTGCCTGCAGCACTCCATCGTTAAAGTTAAAAAAGTAAAAATAAAAAATGTCAACAAGGTTAAAAACGCTGAGGGTCAAAGGTCAGCTGGGGTCGTTTTCCTGCTCCTACTCCCATGACGGTGATGACAAATCCTGCGTCGGCTCAGATACACTGAAGTTAATGTGTCACGTGTGAAAAGAGCAAACATCTGATGCATTAGAAATGTGTCCCTCGCTCTTTTCTTCACTTAATGTTTCTGTGATAAAAAAATAAAATGATCACGTTGGTCCAGTGGACCTGCAGCGTGGGGGGAGGGGGGTGGTAATAACTGAATCGAGTTGTTTAAATTGGAAAACAAAAATTCAATGTGCTTTTCCATGTTGAACCCGAGCAGGGGGCCTCGGACTGGGAACTCAGCTCAAGCACACAGGGGGGCCCCACTACCTGGGGGCCACCAGGGAGGATACTCACTGCCCCCCCCCCCCCCCCCCCCCAAACTTGATAACAAGCTCAAAGTGGCGTTAGAGTTTCAGACTGAGGGTCAAAGGTCAGGGTGTGGCTGGCTTGTGGAGAATGCCCTGCAGGTCGTCAGGTAAGGCCAGGATGACTGCGTCGATGTGGGCCTTCAGCTTGGCCAGGGTCCCCTGACGCACCGGGAGCTGCTCCCTCTCCGCCTGACCCTGCAGCAGAGAGGCACATTCATCAGTTCCAGCAGTGGTATAGGTGTCAGTAGCAGAGTCATTAGTCAGAGTGGCAGTATTAGTAGTAGTAGTGGTAGTAGTAGTAGTAGTAGTAGTAGTACTCACCAGTTTATCCTTCAGCTTCAGAACCAGATCAACCGTCTCCACCTCTGTGTGCTTCTGGACTCTCAGCTGCAGATCCTTCAAACAAAAGACACACAAACAGAGGCTGGAGAGAAAACCATGTTGAGTCCTGTCTTAATGTATCCGTCCTTTAAATTATTATCTTTAAAGATAATGTACATGTTTTCATCTGGACCAGTTCGATGGACTGTTTTTGTTTGCTCCACACAACCTTGACTCACAGTTGGTCGTGTGTATCTCATGTTTCACTGAGGTGAAGAAGCTCGAAGCAAATTAAGTGGAACAAATAAAATGCAATAAAAAAGAAAACAGTGATATTAGGCGTCGACACTATAAAGTGACGTCTATCCGAGGATTCATTGCCCGCTGGTGACGAGGCTAACAAGTTGCTAACACTGCAACGCTAAGAGTGAGACAAGCTTTTGGTCCAAATGGGAAATCCTCCGTAGACCAGGCCGTCCCAGTCCGGTCCGGCCTTCGTGGGCTGGACCACATCCTCTGAGACCAGGCCCTGCCCTCTGTCCTCACCCCTCCCTCCTCACCTCCTCACAAAGCGCCTCGAGGTGCAGAGCCTCCAGCTTCTGGGTCATCTCTCTCCTCCTGTTGCGGAACCAGCCGTCGAAGTTGGGAGACTTGAGGAAATTTCTTCAACACAAAACACACAGGAGTCCACGTGATGCTCTGGAGAATGTGCGTTTACAAACACGAATTCCAAAAGTGATACACGCCCTGAGAGCTATAGGAAACATGGAGGTTCTCATGACCAACATTTCCTTTATCATGTGACAGAGTCTAGAATATATAATGTAGAATCATTTTACAATAGATCTTCCAGGGAAGTGAATGTTCCAGTGGGATTTCATAGTTTATCAATTTTAAAACTAGAGCCTGAATGATTTTCTTATTCTTTAGTATCTGTAAAGCGAACAACCGATCAATCAATCAGGCTCTAATTACAACTGTGTGTGTGTGTGTGTGTGTGTGTGTGTGTGTGTGTGTGTGTGTGTGTGTGTGTGTGTGTGTGTGTGTNGTGTGTGTGTGTGTGTGTGTGTGTGTGTGTGTGTGTGTGTGTAAGAACCTGTAGAGTCCGATCCAGTCTCCTTTCAGTCTGGATGTGAGCTGAGGTCCAGCTTTCTCCAGTGTCTTCATGAAGTCCTGCTGGATGAACGGTCGGAGCTGAGGAGGACTCTTCCAGGGACTGATAGTCTTCTGGAGAGGCATGAGACTTGCCACATATCGCTCCTGTCACACACACACACACACATTTCATTGCTACAGCTCAAACCTGGCTGCAGCAGCACTGACTCTCAACATGGGGGGAGGGAATCCTCCAGAAAAAGTCCCTTAATGAAGTATCTGGTGTAAATCGCATTAAAAAAAAAACAGGACAAAACACAGTGTAACAATGAATCAACAGCTTCTTCAGAAGCCCAGAGATAAATGATTTGTCGTTACCAGTGGAATGATGAAGCTCTGAGTCAGTTCTAGGAAGTAGCGTCGAAGAATTGCATTCTGGGCCGCCGAGGGTCTCTTTTGTTGAACACCCTGAGAATCGAGGAACAACAGTGATCGACATATTATCAGACTTTAGTGAATCAGTGTCAACAGAGGAACAAGAAATGTCAGCAGACAAATGACGAAGATATATTTTTGGTCTCTTCATTTCCCGATTACATCATCAGTCCGACAGAGACGAAACGTTATCCGTCCACTTCGTTGTATATCTGTATCTGTTAGATAAAGATATTACACAACAGCCACTTGGGCTGATGGACTGAAGTGCACGGGCTGTTGAATGAAAAGACCTCGTCGTACCTTCTGAAGCTGTTTGATGATTTCTTCATCTTTGTTGAGATATGGCTTGTATGCAGTGTACACACCTGCAAAACACACGAACATCAGGACACTATAATCACTGCCCTGCGGTTGTATGCCTCCGCCAACACGTTCAGTTTCAGTCTCATGAGGTCACTGTGACCTTCGAGTCAAACTGAACATTTTCACCACCAATTGAAGAAAATACCCTCAAGACATTCTTGAGATATCGTATTCACAAGAGAGGGATGGAACTGACAGAGAACCTGAAAACTTTCTACCAACTTTATAAAGGTATAAGATCCGGAAAGTGAAGTGCCTAAAACCTGTATTCTCTCAAACGACCAGCAGAAGGCGCTCTCTGTGAGAAAATGACTTGATATATAACGTCAGTAAACATTTTCCGACGGAGTTTATTGTCTCAAGTCTTTTTCATTACAGCGATGATGTGTATGAATCAGGGCGTAGATACAGTGTGATTGACAGCTAGTGCCATCCAATGAGGGCAGGTCGCAGGTGTAAGCGGGTGTGCTGTGGTCGGACTCCACCCCCTGTTCTTCCAAATATGGTTACTTCTGGTTTCAAAAAAGCCAAGATGGCGCTGAACAAAAGGCTTTACATAAAGGCAGCTCACAAACCAATGGGTGACGTCATGGTGGGTTGACACTGGGGTTGATCTCAAAGCGCCCCCTGCTGTATGGTCTGCTGCCTCATAAGTGTGAATGTGAGTTTGCTCGTCTGTCATGGGAAGTGCCACCTAGCTTCACCAAATTATAAAGACAACAAGGAACAGGTTGAAACGTTTACCAGGTTTAGAGTCCAGAGTTTTGAGGTTTTTCAGTTTCTTCACTTTCATCTGCTTGGCCATTTCACCTGATGAGAACAGACAGAAGAAGAGAGGAAACACGAGTCAGTCAGTCCAGAGGATTTCATGCACGTTACCTGACTTAAATCTCACTCAACACACGGGGTGAGCAGCAATGGAGACTCCATCATATTTGTTTAACATTAGATGGTAGCAGTATATACAAAGAGGAACCAGAGAAGAAGAAACCTCTGTACACTGTGATGTAGGAGGAAGTACATCATTGTCTCAGTAGCGAAAAGCTGATGCATTAACTCAAGCTGCATTCAGACGTGCACTTGAGTCTGGAGGGTTGTGAACCTACCTGCTTGCTTCATGTCTCCGATGCGGATGATGTGCGGCCAGTGCTGCAGCGTTTTAGCAAAAAAAGGATTTGTCACTCCTAGAATGACTGAGGGCCTGTAGATGGAGACGGTGAGAGAGAACACAGGTAAACACTGATAAATCTGTTGCACAACATTTCATTCATCTTTCTCCACTTATGTCGTTAATGTGCTTTGATCCGACAAGTCTATTTATACAGTGCCTTGCTAAAGGGCAACACGACTGCTGCTGTGCTGGTTCGTCTTTACTCACGGAGCCTGAGTCCTGGTGGTGTACTCCTTAAATTCACTGTCGTGGATGGTGAAGTACGGTCGGAAGTCGCTGCAGTAACGCAGGGGAGAGATACAGCTGCAGAGAAAGAGACACATCAACAGAGTAATATAAAGGTTTGAAGCCTGACTGAGCTGCAGAGTAAAGCCCAGCAGCATTTTGTCTGCAAATGTGCTTGTGGGTGAAGAATTTGGTGACATGAACTGAGAAATGAGGCACGAACTCCTCCTGTATAATGTTTGATTTTTATAAATCATAAACCATAAAACTTGAACTCCAACTTTATTTAATCTTATTTTTTGGCTGATTGCTTGTGAGAGAAGACCAAGAATAATCAGAGAACAGTTAAGTCCTGTCTTCATTTTAAAGGCCACAACAACATGAACTTAATTTGATTCAACTTTACTGTTCAGATGCCTGAAAAAAGTAGATCAGTGTATTTCTACACAGAAATGAAACCTTAAAATAGACAATAGGAAAACACAATTCATGCAATTATTGAAAGAAATGATGAAAAAAACCCCAAATGGCAGATGAGACATACATACTCATTTTAATTCTTCTCCAGAATTTATATTGAGCAGTCATTTTTAAAGTTAACTGTGAAATTGTTAAGCTCCTGCTGGTAGAGTGACCCGTCTCCATCAACTCACCTGACCAGTGCCAGGACAGTATCTGATGACTCTGCTGGCGACGGGGCCATCACGACAAGTGCCTCCCCCAACAACACTAACTCCCACAACATCTGGATGTGGAAGAAAACCGGGTAGAAACACCTGGAGAGAGAATATGAAAATATATTATAGCGAGTATAAGAAGTTTAGAGCTTGTATATGGGACAACTTCACGTCCTGCCAAAAGGGAATCGTTTCAGAACCAAATCGATATGGATTTTTACCGGCCGATATTGATCTCAGAGAGTTTGTAAAGTTTTATTTTGTCCCATTTATTTTGTGCTCGAGTCAGCTACTGCTGCAGTGCTGACTTTGAACAGCAGGTGGCGACATGACATGAGACAAGCATGTGAACTGTGAAGAAGAAGACTTGGACCTGCAGGTCTCACCTGAAGAGGTCAACTTCATGGATGGTTGGGAGCACGATGGACACCAGACTGTCACTCTGAAAAACAACCAGACTCCATTTCAGCCGCGAAAATCACATGTTTCGTGTGAATTCACACACTTCAGTCGCAAAGTGGAAAAGTAATCGTTTGAAAACAGTTAATCTTAAAGGAAATGTGTGTTTGTGCATTTGTGTCTGTGTGATTGTGTGTGATCACCTGGGAGGACTGGACCAGCTGCGAGGTTCCTGGTTTGTCGTAACATGTCGGGATACGAACCTCCAGCAGCACAAAGATTCAACAGAGCAGATCAACAGTTCAAACTCTCATCAGAAACCAGTTTAACACAGGCGACTAAATATTAATTCTGCCCTGCATCTGTTGGTTGTAATCAAAGATCGTACGGCGGTAAACGTGCCACAGCTGGTTACCTCCGCCAAGGAGGTTATGTAAGCGGAAAGCGGCGGAGGGATACAGACATATGTTTTAATCTGTTTCTTTAATAAGGAGAGATGGGATTGTTTCTCATTTTCCCAGGGAACATTAACTGGATCTTGATGAAATAAATAGATAAAAGATATATCTATATATTGTGTGTATGCGTGTGTACCTTGATGACCACTCCCATAATGGGCAGCGTCAGAATTCGTCCGGGATGGGGCGTCGGCCAGCGGTCTATGTCATTACAAGCTGTTGATCAAACGCATGGAAAATGATCAATCAGGATCTGAATCCACTTTATACAGAAGAAAGAGAAAAATACATGTTGTGCATTGGACTGACCGGCCTCCAGACAGGGCTCCTGCTTCTCAAAGTATTCTGGAGCCATTATCTTTAACAGCGAGTGGAAGAAGGTCACATAGGGCAGCTTACTGATCAGGACCAGGGACTGACGGAGAGAAGTGGACAAATAAAATTATGTTACACTGACATTTACAAGGTGAACTAATAAAGAACTGCAGAGACTCCACAGTTTGACACTGACCTTCTGGAAGTATCCTCTCTTCAGAGATTTATCTCGCACCTGACGGAAATACACGTAGCCGTAGTAATGGCCCTGTTCCCGCTGCAACACACACACACACACACACACACACACNACACACACACACACACACACACACACACACACACACACACACACACACAGTTTTAAATTACAGCATCATTGTTGTCAGGTGTCAGCAATTCATTTTGATTGTGGCCCAGTTTTTTTTCCCAGCACTGTTCAATGAGTGAACAAACTTTACTTCTGTCGTTCACAAGAATCAAACAGAAAATCGATGTTTTGATCCAGATGTTGCCTTTCTGGAGTTAGCGTCAACGCAGTCTCAGTTTTTAGCTGCAGGACCAGATTTTGACCAGAGTCCAGAAAAAGTTTAGAGTAAATCTCCAGGATATTAATGAAAATCTCATCTACGACAGCGCGTGTGCTTTTATTACCCGACCTTCAGACATGGCGGTGCGTCCCGGTCTGTGGTTTCCAGGAAGCAGCTGAGCGATGACTTCCTGTTTGAACCCTGACGGAAGCGGAAGCAGAACTGGGTGTCGCCAAGGCAACCTGAAAACGCAGCAGAGAGAAACATCAAATCTAAGCCTTTCAGTCCCAGACCAAAACTGTTAGCAAACACATTTCATCAGCATGATGAAGTTTTCACATACGACATTTCACTACATCAAAGCTCTAAAAAACTACCGAGTGTATTTTAGAAAGTGCGAGTTGTAGACAAATGTTAGGAGGGTTGACATTTTGACTTGACACAGATGTATTTTGTCGTGTCAAGTGGCTCTTCCTGATTTCGGCGAGATTGCATGAAACAGGAAGAGGAATAAAATTGGAAGCAGGAAGTAGACGATGAGTCATCAACTGGCCTTTAACCTCCGGTGACCTCTGCACATCCTCAAGCGAGAGGAAAGAAAGTGAGATAATATAAATGGTACTCGGCCGAGGCTCCATGACACCATGCGGTCCGGTTGTGTTTGATCCACCCGTCAGCAGCGGAACCACAACTCTGACTCTCAGACTGAACCGACTTCACACAATCTGGACTCTCAATTCATTTTTGTCATCAAATAAGAAAAAAATAACGGTCGTCTTATTTTCACAGATCTCCAGGTGTCGGATTGGTCGATCAAGCGCCCGAGAGGAGTTTTATAACATTCATGGAAAATATATTAAAAACTGGATTACACCTGTGTTTTCATTTTGCATCTGCAGATCCCTCTGCCTAAAAGGTTATGTTTCCCCTTGTCTGTGTATATAAGTACCAAGTTATATAAATAGCAGCCCTATCGGCCCTTTGTGTCCTGATTCTGTCTCCACCCTGAGGACAGCAGGTTTGTCATGTTCACCACCTGATGACTCACAGTCAACAACACACAGCTGAAGGAAAACACACACTCGATTAAAATGCACAACTCCAGAGAGGTGTTAGTGGACGAGTGAGTGTACAAACCAATCCACGCTCCAATTTGCCTTCAGACTAGTGTTACATTCGTTAAAAGCGTGCTAATTAATGCTTCTCGACTTTTTATAGCAGCCGACATCTCACAGCCCCATCGAGTGCGGCGGAGGCGTGATACACACTGTACCCTGCGCCTGCACTGAATATACCCCAATCAGCCAATGCTAACTTTTAACAGTGAAATAATGTAATTTATTCATGACGGCATATTGATAATCAGCTCCCACCAAGTAATTATCCACTTTCAACCACTTTCCCACTTTCCCACAAACCACTGTAAGATTTCAGACATCAAAGACAAGTCTGAAAGGATGAAACAGGAACTCACCTGAGTTTGAGTCGGGAAATGAAAGGTAGCAGATACTTGTTTTCTGAAAGGAAACAGAAACAAGATCAGATACACTTATCCACACTCCGTACAACGACACACAACAAACTGCAGGAGATAAATGGTGACAAATGACAAATAATATAAATAGTTTACCAAACTCTACACAACTATACGGCTTCAGTGAACTCAAACGTTTTAAGAGGTCGTCTGAACTCACCTCTTTCTCTGACAGTTTGGAATGATGAGGATAAATGACCTGGAACACAGAGGAACCGAGTTATCACACAACACGAGCTCATCAAGACACAAACTTTGTTTAGCACCTCTGAGACTAAACATCGGCACCTTTTTCACCACGAGCTGTTTGAACTTCAAACATTTTAACCAACACATATTTGATGACCACTCCAAGAGTTTAAAGTTCAGTTTATGTCATTCACACACACATTTATACAGCGCATCTATGGACAGCACTTTTTCTACGAGGGGCAATTCGGGGGTTCAATATCAGTAGGACAACCACTCTACCCCCTCAGCCACAGGCGCCCTAATGTGAACAATTTAGACTGTATTATATGGAAACATTTTCTATTCTAACCATCGGCACCAAAAGTCGGCCACTGTTACAACATGCTTTAAAGTCAAGTCTATCTCTTTATTTTGGTTGAAGACATTTTAATGAATAGAGTAAGTGTATTAGTCGACTGACAGAGAATAAATCAACACTTTAGGTGATTATGTGTGTAATGATTGTTCCAGTTTCTCAAATGCGATGATTTTCTCTTTTCTTACTCTACTTTGATTATAATGATAATGAACTGTTGATCTAACTAAATGTTCTGGGTACTTGTGATGGAAAACGTGCTCCCATTTTCTATATTTAAAACGTAACTGGTTATACAACCTCTCAGTTGAAAGACACATTTTTAGATGGAGCCAAATGGATTTTAAAATGACTGCATATATTTAGTAAATTGACAATATAAGGGCAAGAGTGTGCTTGGATAGTGTGTCTGAAATCAGCTGCGCCTCCACTAGATCTCATGCACCTACACCTCACACAGATATAACTGTGGAATGACCATTTTCTATCGAAGCAATTTCAATATCGTACATGTGCAATTCTGTTTGTTGACATTGTACATATTTGCCCCCTCTTATAGACCTTGATGTTTGTATTTCTCACTTATTCATTCACTTTCCTGAATGTTTATATCAATATTCCCATTTTGCTGCTGCAACACGTTAACATTCCCACACAGTGGGACTAATAAGTGAATAC